ATGTTCGCATTGGACGGGTCTTTTCTGCCCGTGCGTGCCCGCTAGGGGGCGTGCGCGAGCAGAAAAAAATGCCGTCCGTCCGTTTTTCTACTACGGGCGGACGGCAAGAGGTTAAACTTGTGAATTGAACTTATTATCATTTCAGCACCTTTGCAAGCTCCGAATCAACAGATAATGATCTCAGAGCCTTAGCTCTCTGTCCACACATACACTTTTCAGCGCCTTGGTCAGCTCCTAGACCATTTACTGTCATTTTGGTAACTTGGTCACCTGCCGGGCCACACACTCTCATTTCAGCAGCTTGGTCAGCTCCCGATCACAGATTCTCATTTCAGCACCTTGGTCACCTGCCGGGCCACACACTCTCATTTCAGCAGCTTGGTCAGCTCCCGATCACAGACTCTCATTTCAGCACCTTGGTCACCTGCCGGGCCACACACTCTCATTTCAGCACCTTGGTCACCTGCCGGGCCACACACTCTCATTTCAGCACCTTGGTCACCTGCCGGGCCACACACTCTCATTTCAGCACCTTGGTCACCTGCCGGGCCACACACTCTCATTTCAGCACCTTGGTCACCTGCCGGGCCACACACTCTCATTTCAGCACCTTGGTCACCTGCCGGGCCACACACTCTCATTTCAGCACCTTGGTCAGCTCCCGACCACAGATTCTCATTTCAGCACCTTGGTCAGCTCCCGACCACAGATTCTCATTTCAGCACCTTGGTCAGCTCCCAGACCACATGCGGACATTTCAGCACCTTGGTCAGCTGTCTGTCCACATATTATGATCCCAGCATCCTGGTCAGCTCCCAGGTGATCTCCCACTTCCAGTTTTATTACTTGAAGGCAACCTACACTGAGGAAACACGTAGGCTGCCATTGCTGAACCTTACTCTTGAAAACGTTAACTGGCTGTCGCCTTGATCTAAAATGTTTGGGATATTATTGAGACACTGATCTGAAATACATAGGCACATTCGGAGTTTGAGCCTACCTATGGCCCCGCTGATAGTATGACTTGTTCCAGAGCAGTGGCTTGTATCGAGGGCAGAGAAAGACAAGCAATTGGAATTTTCAGAAGGAGGATCAGCGATGGCGACCTTATTTCTCTGCATGCAAGGGTCCCTTCCTTCACCTAGAAGGAATGCAGATATTGTCATGTCACTACCAGATCCAGATCCTGGATTGGATATCTTTCTTTAAATAACAAAGGTGACCAATCTAAGGGACATTCAATGATTTATATCTTCCTAGCAAGCGGTAAAAGCTTTTCCTGTCCTGTCCAGCTGAAGGTACCACGGAGTTATTTATCCTCAAAGCTCTAAGGAAAAATATGTTTTCCTGACACCAACACGTGGCAGCATACAATGGGCTGGGGGCGGAGCCATACCCATTGTATGCTGCCATGTATTGGCGTCAGGAAAGGAAAATTACCGATAGGCAAGTATACAATTTTCCCTTTTCCTGACACCAATACATGGCAGCATACAATGGGTATGGCTCCGCCCCCAGCCCATTGTATGCTGCCATGTATTGGCGTCAGGAAAGGAAAATTACCGATAGGCAAGTATACAATTTTCCGTATTCCTGACACCAATACATGGCAGCATACAATGGGTATGGCTCCGCCCCCAGCCCATTGTATGCTGCCATGTATTGGCGTCAGGAAAGGAAAATTACCGACAGGTAGGTATACAATTTTCCCTTTTCTATCACTAGATCTCTAGAACAGCGACTTGGCGGCCTGCCAGCCTTCTAATCTGTAACGAGAGCCCAGAACAAGAGCACACAGAGGACAGCGTGCTGAGACCCGACCTGAACGTCCTCACTAACACTCTTCCGAACTTTGAGGATGAATTGCTCCGCAGCACCTGCAGCTGCACAGTTCAGTGCAGGTTTGTTTTAAAGCTTATTTACGGCTCGATAAAGATCGGCAAATATTTCAATGTCCTTACCTGACCACAGTTCTACTTTAAGCACCCAAAAGTGCTCCAAATGCATAGCCAATGATTCCAGCACTGTGGTCACCTCCAAATTTACTCTCAGCACCTCCCAGTTCTAAAGCTGACCTGTTCTTCAAAGCAATAAAGTCTAATAATCAAAGATTACATAGTTACATAGTATTTGAGGTTGAATAAAGACACGGGTCCAGTGTAAAGACGGGGGTCACCATTTTTAATTAATAGACTAAATAATCAAAGAACAACTTTAACCGAGAGATTGAGGGAAAGTTAGAATAAGGGATGAGTGGGCAATTTTGCTGCTCAATCATATAAATCCTGTTGTCTCTGCAGTTCTTGGCTGTGTTATAAGCGTCTAACACAGATCAGCCTCTGCTGCAACCTCTCATCTTGCAACCTCTCAAATCTGACTTGCTACAGATTGGCAATGTTGCAGACTGATCACTGGGGGAGGGGAGACTGAGAAAATGTTTTTTCCTGCATGCATCAGACTGATCACTGGGGGAGGGGAGACTGAGGAAATGCTTTTTCCTGCATGCAGCAGTCTGATCACTGGGGAGGGGAGACTGAGAAAATGCTTTTTCCTGCATGCATCAGACTGATCACTGGGGGAGGGGAGACTTTGGAAATGCTTTTTCCTGCATGCAGCAGTCTGATCACTGGGGAGGGGAGACTGAGAAAATGCTTTTTCCTGCATGCATCAGACTGATCACTGGGGGAGGGGAGACTGAGAAAATGCGTTTTCCTGCCTGCAGTAGACTGATCCCTGGGGGAGGGGAGACTGAGAAAATGCTTTTTCCTGCATGCATCAGACTGATCACTGGGAAAGGGGAGACTTTGAAAATGCTTTTTCCTGCATGCAGCAGACTGATGATGTAATCTGTAAGCCCACGAGACAGCCGACTGCTTGCATCAGCTGAAGAGTACTAAGGCTGGGTGCTGTGGAGTCCTCAGGAAGCTATGCACAGCACCCTGCTGGCCCCTCCCACCAGCCATGATCTGCCTGCATTGCATAAAGAAGCACAGGGACCCAAAGAGTAAATACAACTAAATGGTTTCATTTAAAAATGTTAGTGGGCGGGGGAGGGAGGAACCAGGTACGGCAAAATATAAGTAGATGAAACTTCAGCTTCGTGTTTGACATTCTTTGTCCTTGACGTATAGAAACAAGCTCCTATGGAGGCGATTCCGTCCTCCGCCGCCACTTCTCCATTCCTGACTGTTTCCAATTTCTCTCCGGTTTTTACAGCACTTTGGTTCTGACACAGCCTCTGATCCGAGAGCCTCTTGTGAAGGATTTTATTGTCTCCTTGTCCCATTCATCATACCCCACTCCATAAAACTCTATGCCGCAGCCGCCGTGCCAGGCATTGTGACGGATTACAGACCTGTTGAAAGGCGATGCTTTATGTGCCATGCTTTACAGCGGAGTCTCGGTGCCCCCCTGTAGAACAGGTATCGTTCAGGCGCTCAACGGCGCACGCTGGGTTGTAATTGCCCGTGTGCCGGGGAGATCGGGGGTTAAAGGACCGCTAATTCTAAATTATTATATTCCTAATATCGAATTTCCACTAATATAATTCAAAATGAGGTAAATGCTGAACTTTATGAATCTTGTCAGCCATTTGAGGCCAAAGAGGGCTCAAAAACAGAAAGGTGACCCCCAACCC